CTTGGCAGGACGTCCTCAAGGCACATCCGCAGCGTGGCCCGTGTCCGAATTTCTTCCTTGTTAAGGCTGAGTCACATCCCTGTGGATGGGTTGGGCCCCACTGTGGGTCCCTCCTCTGTCCACGGACACTCGAGTGACCTTCCCCTTTGGCTGCTGTGAGCACCAATGGTGGGCAGGCAGCTCTTCCAGACCTGCTTTCTGTTCTCTCTGATGGCGTGGTGACTGTGTGTGCAGCTTCCTGGGGGCTGCGGTCCTCCCGGTGCTCTCCCACCTGCCCCTTTTTGGTGGATGGAGCCTGGGGTCCCTGCAGATGGCCCCACTAGGGTCCCCAGGGTGCCTTGGGGACAAGGGGTGTGTCTCTCCCTGTCTCTCTCCACTCCCCTCCGGTGTCTGCCCCTCTCTCTCTCTCTGCCCCGGCAAGTGTGGTGTCTGGTCGCTGCTGAGGGACCTCCCTCATCACTCCTGTGTTCTCAGGTTTATAGTCCTCAGAGGCTGGGGCGGGGGCCAGCAGGGTGCCCCCATCCTTGCCATGGGTCTGGCCTAGGCCTGGAGGGTGGCCTGCCAGGGGGCTGCAGGTCGGGGTGTCCCCTCCTGAGCGGTGTGACCGTCACGGGGCTGCAGAGGTGTGCAGCTGAGTGACCAGCCAGCCTGGACACCTGGGACCAACACACCTGCGGATCCCACAGTGCATGATCTGGGTGGCCGTGGGCTCTGGGCGATCTGCAGTGGGGCGGACACCTCCTTGTCACCGCTGCCCCGCAGTGCTCCTGAGAACTTGTGTGGGGCCCGAACTGCAGGCTCTGGGAAGGGCTGCAGGGGACAGTCTGTCTTCATGAGTCCACACTGAGGGGCGTTTCAGAACCCACGGGTGGCCTGTGGATTGGGGCAGGGCCCGGGGAGGGCCTGGAAGGGCCGAAGCAACCAAGCCGGGCCCCAGAGGAGAGGCTGCAGCCCCATGGGTGCAGGTGGGCATGACCCAGGACTGGGATGCCCAGACCAGCCCAGGACGGGCTTTCCAACGCAGGCTGTGCTTAGGTTTCAGCATTTCAGGTTTCCTGTGCCCCAGCCCTGCAAGGTCTCCCACCCCCGTACAGCCACGGAGGCTGGCTTTGGTCCCCAGGCCCCACGACTCACCTGCTGCCGGCGCGTCCCTGCTCACCCCGCCCCATGAGTCGCGTCAGGGATGCCTGGGTTTCCCTAAGTGCACAGCTCCACAGCTCTCAGCCGGGCTGTACCGTCAGCCACGTCTCTGCTGGTTCCCTGGCACAGCCCCCGCCCTTGGCTGGGCCCCCCGCACAGTCCCCACACTGGGTCTGGGCTCCTGGTCCTCAGGTCACTGAGAGCTGAGAGATGAGCGATGACGGTGCAGCCCAGGGCCCGATTCTGTCCCGGCCCACCCCGCTCTCCTCTTACTGCCTTTTGTTTCTTCTCATTTTGTCACAAATTAGGGGGGACTCAAGGAGGCCAAGGGGAGGGCCCTGTCCCCAGGTGAAGGCACAGAGCCCAGAGGACGCAGCAAGAATTTTCACAGGGGACCGTGGATGGCATCAGTCCAGGTAGTTCCTAGAAACAGGCAGAGCCAGAGACAGCCAGTGCCCCTGGTAAGGCGACCGTGGCCGTGATGTCCCCATACTGGCCCCCTGCTCCTGTCCTGTGGACCTGGTTCTCTCTCTCATTTTCTCATCTAGACAGTTACTCCCACCTGGATGGCCCCAGCTGGACAAGCCGAGGCTCAGGTCAAGAGGACACACGGCAGTGGGACCGGAGCAGGGACAGGAGCAGGGACAGGAGCAGGGCAGGCTGGCCCGGGAGCCTGGTGCATCCCGGCGCGTCAGCAGGAGAGGAGCAGGGTGAAGTGGCCTGGAAGCCTGGCGCATCCTGGACTGGGCACCCACAGCCCCTGACCACCAGCCCTGCAGGGTCCGCACGAGCATCTGTGCCTGGGAGTCAGCATCAACATGTGGCCCGGGACCCCGGTTAACCCCACTGTCTGCACGGGGCTCCCCATGGCCAATGGAAGTGAAGAGGGCAGTCTCAGAGCCCGGAGATTGTACATGGATGCACGAGCTACTGTGAGGATAACATGGGAGCTCTCGCGGCTTCTCCTTCTCCTGGCGGGGTGCTTCCTGTGATTGTGCTGGACGCATGGTGTGGGCACAGGAACAAACCTTCAGCTAGGAGAATGGGCAGTATTTTCTCCCCAGCACCTACAGGCAGGGAATGTTAGGTTTACAACTTCTGAGGGACTACAACTGGACCCGTTAGAGACAAACTGAAATGCAGACAATTAAAAGTGTCCCTGAGGGCGGCAGGCACCTGCGATGGAAGCTGGTGGTGCAGCTCCTTCTCGTGGCCCCAGCTCTTCTGCATAGCCTGGCCCGGGGCAGCTGCAGGTGGGAGAAGTGAGGCACACTCGGGATGGCCCTTGTTTTGCTTGTCTTTCCCCGGGGCCCATGGGGGAGGTCAGGAGTCCTCATCCGGCCAGGCCTCACCCCAGCAGGATGCCCTGAGGAAGGAACACAGGGTCTACAGGGCCAGGGGTTGCTCCACACGGGGCAGCCTCCGAGGAAAGGTCTCCTCGAGGGAATCAGTGAGAATCACGACATCCCATTCCTCCAGGGCAAGAGCCTTGCTGGCTCCCCACCTGCAAACACAGCTGTGCTTGACCCCAGGGAGAAACTGAGGCAAGCTGTGAGAGGGCCTCTCGGGACAGGGAGAAGGTCTGAGGCTGACCTTGTGGTGACGGGGGAACCAGCCACGGCAGACGGTGTCCCCTTGGCTGCCCTGCACAGTCTCCCAGGCAACCCAATGACAGCAACAAGTGCGGGGAGCCCAATTTTAAAACGGACACTTCACCTAAAAATCCAGATTTCTGACTTGCAGTGACGCCTGATCTCAGGGCCTCCCTCTCTTCCTTAATGAGGGGTGGAGATTCCAAAGGCCATGTGTCTCTTCCAGGACATGGTCTGTGCTGGCCTCGTCTTTCTAGATCTGGACCCCAGCGCTTCTGTTCGCATCTCGGGTCACAACCAGGGCGACGTCCACCCCCAGCGCGGATGAGCTCAGTGCCTGCAGCCTTCCGGGCCCAGAACTCTCAGGACCCAGGCAGAGGTGGGGCTGGAGAATTTCTGGATTCTCTTCCAGGCCCACAGGCGCAGGACAATCCATTTTGGAAAATCCTGTTGTTAGCCTGAGCATTGAGGACTCGGCAGAACTGGCACGAGGACCCCCTTCCTCCCGGGCTTCTGCTCGGCCATGGTCCCCAGGCCCACCCGAGGGGCCGACCAGCACCTGGGACGGGTGGTGGGAGCTGAGGCTGCCCTGCAGCCCTCCACGGGGGACTCTCTCCCCGTCCAGACACAAGTAACACCTCCTGTGTAGAAGCGCCCGCGGGACGGGAGGAAACTCTTCAGCGAGAGCAAACTGGCTTTCCTGGGGACCCCGTTTCAGGGGTTGCTTGTTGGTGCTCAACAGGACACCATATTCAGAGGAATCCCCAAGCTATCAGCTTCTCTAACCCCCAAAATGCGAGCTGGAGCCGGGATGTCGGCCCAGGTGGCCTCGCAGGTGCCATTTCGTGGCTTCTGGCTCCCCCTTCTGGAACCGCCTGAAATGACAGCCGTCTGCAGTAGCAGGACCCGCAGCCCGGGGTGGGGGGGGGTGCCTGGTGTCCCCTCCACGGCCCAGGACTTACGTGCTGGGGACTGGGGGGGGGGCTGCTCCTGAGTGGGACTGAGTGGCTTGCTCAGTTGTGCCAGGGGGGCCTTGGAGGTGGTGACCCCAGCGGAGTCCCTGACCCTAGGAAGGGTGCACCTGGGCCTGCCCGTGACCGTCACAGAAGGGAGGCAAGGCCAGCTTGTTTGGTCCATGTCGGGGTCTTGCTACAGGTTTCTCTGCTGGGCCTGCACAGGAGAGGAAGGCACTGGTGGCTGTCGGGGGTACGGACTTACGGGCTCCGGGAATGCAGTGCGGCCCTCAAGGCATGGCCGTCACTGACCTGGAATTGGATGAGACTATGGAAAACTGGTGAATCCTCGCCCACCTGCCGCCCCTGCTGGGCGCTGGCACTCTGCTCTCGTCACCCCAGAGCACCAGGCCGCAGTCTCGGGTCTGAGCACGAGCTGCTCTGATGACAGGCTTTGCTTGTATCTTCCCGCCCTCGGCTCCAACCTCCCCTTTCCAAGGAGTCTCCCAAGGCTGCCGGCCCTGCTGGTTCTTCCGCAGCACTTACCTCCCTGGGACCAGCTATTCCGGGCGGCGGACAGGACCGTGAGGGTCACGCCTCTACACGTAAACCTAGAAACGTGGGGCCAGCACAGCACTGGATGCTCGGGGACGCTGCCCATCACACGCAGAAAGGAGGAACGGGCTCCTCCTCCTGCAGCACCGCTGACTCCAGACACGCAGAATGCTCTCCCCAGGATGGGCACCCTCCTGAAGGGCTCTGGGGCTGTACGGCCGGCTCAGAATTTCTGGGGCTGACACAGGTCCAGAACCTAAAAAGCAAAGAGGTTACACCGCAAGCCGGCAGCCGGTGGAAATACAGCCTCTCGCCTGACCTCAGAGCTGGTTCCTGAACTGGAGCTGGAACTGGATCTAATGCCCATCTAATGACCCTTTAGTGGGCTGTTATTTTCTTTAATCCAGCAGAGAATCCATGTCACAGACCCGTTCCGACTGCCTTGCTGCCCGTCTGCCGGGAACGCCCTGTCCGTCTCGTTTAACCCTCACAAGCAGCAGGCCCCGTGGGGTGATTTCGTTTACGGGGGAAAAGACCCCTCCCTCCTCCCGTCTCCACCTGCCCCTGACGCATCTCGATTTCTTGAGACGAGTCTTCAACCGTCTCCTCATCAGGATCCAAGTGATCTACGGCCGGTCGTTTATCTAAAAGCTGGACTGCAGTGTTACTCCCAAAGGCTCAGGGGTTCAGCTTTTCTGAGGTTATTGACAATGTAATCAGTCTATTAGTGTCACAGGTGGGTGGTTTATTTGTACAGGTGCACGGGGGAGCAGCCTTTCATTTGCACTTGGCCTCCACCCCCGAGGCCCGAGCGTGTGACCCCATCTCCTGGGCTGCTGGCTGTAGACTTAAGATTTCTACCGTCCCAACGCCCCCAACGCAAACTGCTCTGGCAGAAGCGATAAAGACACGTAAAATCCAAGTCAGCCCCCCAGGATGTGACTTCCGGGCGACACCGACTTGGTGCACAGAAGGGAAAATCCCAGGCAGCCTCCGGCAGCGACCAGACGCGCCCAGATCACGGAGCGGACAGCAGCGACACCTTGTGGGGACGCAGGAAATCGCACCCTCGCAGGGCCAGGCCCGTCTGGAAATTCAGAACGCTCAGGACAGATGACCCAGGAATTCCATTCAAAAGGCCTGTTGCGTATGGGGAAGACTGGCAGCTTCATTGCTCTCTGCGGCTATTTTCTCCTCCGCAAAGCTGCGGGGGACGGTAGGTGGGTGCTGGGCAGCCCCTCCGCTGGTTGGTGAAATGCCCTTGGAGCCCCACGCACACAGCGCGGCCAGGATTTCAAGTGACAGGGCCCACCTTGATGGGAAACGACGCAGAAAATGAACAGGTGAAACTCCTGGCAGAGGCTGCGGCGCCTGCGTGGAAAATACAGAGAAACTCTCCTTTGAACCAAGAGGCCTGGTGTTTGACCAACTTCTGCTGAGGCCTCCAAGAAGGGGCATTGCTGCAGGCGGCACAACACACCGGTTTCGAGGAATACCCCAGGCACAGGACACAGCTGAGGAAATGAACTCCTGGCCCCAAGAACCTTCCCAGCGTCACAGAAGCGAGGGGTCTGGCTGGGCGACACCATGAATGCAGCGTGGCAGCCGCACAGGCTTTCATCATCTCAACTGGTGTGTGTTTCCAACCAAGTAAACTCCCATGACCAGGCAAGTGAGCTATCTTAGGGGATGTGAGTTTTACAGGACAGCTGATTTCTACCTATAGAAATGGTGTTCGAGTGTGATTTTGCAAATATAAAAGGATGGGAAGGACACGCGTGCTAGCAGCAAAGTCTCTGGGCAATGATTTACGCTGGTGGCTGCAATGGAATTGTGTTCGGAAACACCACTGTTTGTACGACTTGCCTTCAGAACGTGTGAGGAGAACAGCTCTTTAGTGAGAACTCAGTAACTCGAGTGTTTTTACTGAAAAGCGAAATGCGAGTATAAAGCGAGGTGCCTTCAGCAAAGGGCAGCCGTCTGTCTGAGCAGGAGCTGCAGCTGGTGTGGACACGGGCCTCCGTGGAGCCTCAATTTTATTACATTTGAGTAGGAATGACTGTGTATTATAACATCAAAGAAAGAATGTGAATGTTAGGGAATTGCAGAAATTAAACTTTCATTCTAATTCTTAGAATGCCAGAGTAAGATAAACCCTTTACAGTAACAGTAAAATAATTCGGGCTCATTTTCAGTAGAAACTCAAGCTGCTTCAATATGGAAATAGGATTTTGACAAACACAAAAGAAGAAAGAAAAGCAGGGGTGAAGCCCCACACTGAGAGGGAGAGGCCGTCCTGGCATCTGTGCCCTGGGCTCGCCTAGCAGGGGTGAAGCCTCGCACTGAGAGGGAGAGGCTGTCCCGGCATCCGTGCCCTGGGCTCGCCTGGCAGGGCTGACGTCCCTGCACTGAGAGGGACAGGCCGTCCCGGCATCGGTGCCCTGGGCTCGCCTGGCATACCCTCCCTTTCTCGTGGTGCTCGCTTGGTAGCAATGGCAAACCCTGTGTTCACTGGAAAGGGCAGAAGGTGCTGGGACCAGCCCGCTGGGGGTGCACAACCCCTTAGGAGGCCAGCTTGCAGTAGCTTGGCGGAGACAGCTTGCGCCTCAGGTACTTGAGGACATACAGCGGGAGGCAGCTGACCACGGTGATCGCCGACACTTTCCACAGGAAGGCCACGGTGGTGATAAAGGCAACATCTGTTGGCAGGAAACAGAAAAAAAGGTAAGAGCCGACAGGAAGCCCTGGGCCCTCATGGCCACAGCCACAGACCCGGCCAGGCCACCGGGCGGTCTCAGCTTGCCACGGAACTATCACCGTACGTTTATAGGAGCCCAGCTCCAAATCTCAGGTTTTCCTGACTGCAGAATTGTTTAACCTGCATACCGGGCATAATTCATTCTTCTTTTAATGGAAAAAACAAACCAAAGCATTATAAAGAGATTGTAGGCCAGGCGCAGTGGCTGTAATCGCAGCACTTTTGGGAGGCCAAGGCAGACGGATCACTTGAGGTCAGGAGTTCGAGACCAGCCTGGCCAACATGGGAAAACCTCCTCTCTACAAAAAAGACAACAAAACATTAGCCGGGCATGGTGGTGGGCACCTGTAATCCCAGCCACCGGGGAGGTGGAGGCAGGAGAATTGCTTGAACCCAGGAGGCGGAGGTTGCAGTGAGCTGAGATCACACCACTGCACTCCAGCCTGGGGACAGAGTGAGACTACATCTCAAAAAAAAAAGTTTGCAGGCCAGCTACGGTGGCTCACGCCTGTAATCCTAGAACTTTGGTACGCTGAGGCGGGTGGATCACCTGAGGTCAGGAGTTTGAGACCAGCCTGGCCAACATGGGGAAACCTTGTCTCTACTAAATATACAAAAATTATCCTGGTGTGGTGGTGGGTGCCTGTAATCCCAGCTACTCAGGAGGCTGAGGCAGGAGAATCACTTGAACTCAGGAGGTGGAGGTTGCAGTGAGCCAAGATCGCACCATTGCACTCCAGCCTGGGTAACAAGAGTGAGACTTCGTCTCAAAAAAAAAAAAAAAAAAAAAGGGTTGCAGATGACTAATGTCACCAAATACCACTAAATGGGTAGACAATGCTCTGTGGCAGAATTTGTAAAGGCACTGAAGCACTGGAACAGACACCAACTCACCTAACTTGTGGGAGTGGTTTGGACGATCTAGGCTAGCCGTTTTGGTTTTGGTTTTTGTTTTTTTAAGGTAGAACTGACTTTATGAGGGGCTGGGGGCATCAGAGGGCAGCCGGCAGTTCCATCTGCAACACAAATGCTCAGACCGGTCTGCTCTTAGAGGCTCTGAGCCCGGCCCACCCAGAGAATGTTCTCGCCTATCACCCTCCCAGCATCTCCACAGAAGAACCATGTACTCACCATGGCCGAGCTGTGCTGCTAATGACTAGGCCACTTACATTCCTCACAAGAAGAGGAGGTGAGAAACTGGATATTTACATACTTCGAATCTACATATAGTGGAAATCCCTTTAGACTGTTGCCGGATGGGATAAAAAGATCTATGGAGCAGAGTTAGAGGCCTTTGTAAAATAAATGACAGAGGGAAGCGCCAGATCTCTGTATGAAGGGGAAGTCCTACGTTTGTGTGTACTCATTTTCTGAAGACCCTGAAAATGTTTTCCAGGAGCTCAGCCCCTACAACTGAAAAGGCAAACATGTTTTAGGGACTCGTGCAATCCTTAGCAGATGGCAGGGGGCCTGGCCCCTTCCCTTCACTCAGGGCCACCAAGCCCCCAACAGGCAAGCCAGCAGCACTCAGCCCACGACGAGCCAAGTAGGCACATGGCCACCAGCTTACGTGATATCAGAGAGTTCGTGAGGAACACTGAATTAGAGGACGGTTTATTTTTCGGATTAGTTAAGTATCTTTATCAATATTGTTTGGCTAAATTTCTACACTTTTGAAAGAAAGGATAACTTTACCTACCTAAGAAAGCTCCAAAAGACACTCTGCCTATACCTGTTCCAAAACAGGAATAAAGAAAATAAAGGACAGATTAAAGGAGATACTGGGTATTTCAAGGGGTTAGCAAACGAATAAGAAACACATTAAAAGCAATAAAATGGCAGGTGCAAGATGCGTTTTCAATGTGGTTTTAACCTCTCATTTCCCTGCCTGTTACCATACAACTGTTTAAACATCACCGAAACCCAACAGTTAAGTTTCCTGTGTCTGAGAAGCACACACCTTGGCATTCCCGAGGAGACAGAGACCTACCCAGGTCTGAGGAGCTCACCACAGAAGGTGCACGTGCTGGAGGGCTGGCCATGTTCTGCAGGTGCGAAAGGATCTCCGCACATTCGTTCACATGTACTTAAGCACGTTACTACTGATCTTCACACCCGTTCCCAACGGGAAGTGATACCAACTCCAGTTTGCAGATGCAAAAGCTGAGGCTCAAAGCGGTGGTGAGTCCTGCCCACGCCTGTGACGCGTGTCTTTGTCATTTTGTGAGCTCACTGTGGCACTTAGCGTGTTCACGTGTCCCTGAGTATGTTAATTCATGATCATACAGGAAAATATTCTAAAAGCCAATTTTCAAAAGAAAAATAACTAGGACATTATAATTAGAAAATAACCATTTCTTAGAAGCCACGGGTATTTTCTGAGAGTTCTTTTATGTAAGAACAGGAATATTTCACATTTTCCTCCATAGAGGTTCACCACTGCACGAACGCTCAGGCACTGAGATGGGGACAGGTGCACAGGCGGCTCCGTGTTCGCTTCCGGCAGGCCCGAGTCCGGCTCCGTGTTCGCTTCCGGCAGGCCCGAGTCCGGCTCCGTGTTCGCTTCCCGCAGGCCCGAGTCCGGCTCCGTGTTCGCTTCCCGCAGGCCCGAGTCCGGCTCCGTGTTCGCTTCCCGCAGGCCCGAGTCCGGCTCCGTGTTCGCTTCCCGCAGGCCCGAGTCCGGCTCCGTGTTCGCTTCCCGCAGGCCCGAGTCCGGCTCCGTGTTCGTTTCCCGCAGGCCCGAGTCCGGCTCCGTGTTCGCTTCCCGCAGGCCCGAGTCCGGCTCCGTGTTCGCTTCCTGCAGATCTGAGTCCCAGCTGCTCCCGAGTGGCTGTGCTGCTCATGTCAGGGGACCAGCCAGTGACCAACAGGGCTCAGCGCCTCCTGTCAGGGGACCAGCCAGCCAGTGACCAACAGGGCACCGCACCTTCATCCCTAGTGCAGGGACGGTTAGAGCAGGCACTTTCTGATACGGGTTTTACCATGATCCACAACTTAAGACAACGTATTCAGAAGTAACAATAAGAAAATGCTTCAAAATCATGAATAGACAATGATTCAGAAAACAATTCCAAGGCAACTTACCAAAATATTCATTGAGAAAAGCGAGTGAGGACACGTAGCAGCCCAGGCTGAGAAACTCGGCCACCACCATCAGCCAGTGCCATGTGCGGACGGTCAGTGCCACCATCAGCAGCTCGGTCAGGATCAGTGCGGTGAAGGAGATGGCCACCACATGGACGAACTCAGACTCGAAGAGCACTAGGGCCCCGTACATGAGGATGCCACCTGAAAAACAGCAGGAGCTTTTTCCACGCACACGAGCAGGGTGTAAGCAGCTAGAGGAAACAGCCTGGAACCAGCAGCCTCACTGAAGACCCTTAAACGAGCAGATAGGCTGGGTGCAATGGTTCACATCTGTCATCCCCGCACTCTGGGAGGCCGAGGCGGGCGGATCACGAGGTCGGAAGTTTGAGACCAGCCTGGCCAACATACTGAAACCCCATCTCTACTAAAAATACAAAAAAATTAGCCAGACGTGATGGCGCACACCTGTAATCCCAGCTACTCAAGAGGCTGAGGCAGGAGAATCGCTTGAACCCAGCAGACGGAGGTTGCAGTGAACTGAGACCATGCCACTGCACTCCAGCCTGGGCAACAGAGCGAGACTCTGTCAAAAAAAAAAAAAAAAAGCAGATAACTGTCATGCCCATGCTTCATGCTGATGAACAAATCGCTTAAACTCTGGATTATGGACACGCGAATACGGACAAAATAAGATGGGATCCCAGCTAGATCAGTTAGAAATGGCAAATAGAGGCTGACAAACATTCTCATCTCTGGATGCAAAGCCACACCTCTACTACCTCTACTTCAATTAGTGTAAATAGTTACGTGTTGCATGTAACTAATAGATCTGATCTGTTAGTTATGCTTTCAACAATCTCCCATTTAGATGAACACTAAACAAAGAGCAGCTAATGGCTTCTCCTTACAGAACTCAGATTCCTCAGTCTTTTCACCACTCTATGAAAGAAAGCCATTGTGCAGGGTATACAATGTGTAAGCGCTTGTTAAAATCTTTCTGGATTAACATTTAATTAAAAACTAAGTCAGTTTTTGGGTGACATGCATCAGTTAAAAAACAAAAGGGCCCATGTTGCTGGAATATTGATTGACAGGACAAACGGAAGGCAGTATTTAACTGCTGGTGACATCTTAAGCTGTTGGAATTTAATCTGCAAGTAAAAACAGTATTGCTAAAAGAAGACCAAAATAAAAAAATTCTTTAGTCCAGTAAACTAAGGATCCTGCCTTACCTTGGTAAATGCTGATTAAAACCCAGATGAGGAAGGTTTTGAAGGACAAGGATCTTCCCTAGGGAAACAGTGGAAGAGTGTCGTTAATGCGCGGAACCACCTGCTTGACTCACAAGCCCCATCCATGCCACCCCAGCCACCTGGTCTACCAGCATTTCAGGGTGCCTTTTCCTGGCACCCGAATCCTGAAGAAGCTGCCTGGGCCCCACACGTGTCCACTGGTGCCTGAGGTTAGAGGTTCAAGTTCTCTTCTGTTTGACCTGCCGTCTTGTTCGATGTTTAAGCCATAGTTCTAATAAGCCAGGAGTGATGTATACAAGCAAACATTTTAATGAACCAGGGGCGAAAGGCTCTTGGCAATAAAAACATTTACCCTTATTGTGAACAAATACTTCTGTATTTACTGTTTAGTTTTTTCAGATCAAAAGATACAAAAGGTTAACAGCTCTTCAGTAAGGATGGCACATCCCAACTGAAGTAAAAAATTATCCCTCAAACCCTTGTTGGAGAACGTGTCACATCCATAACCCCACATGGATGGAATGGGTCCTTGTGCCAGGCTCTTCACTCTGCGAAGCTGAAGGCAGGTGATGAGGGGGCCGGAGGCAGGGGAGCTCTGGCCCACAGGGTTGCTTGTCCCGCCGCACCCCTGAAGATTAATTCACAGTCCAAGGAGAGAGGCTAAGTCACTAACAACTGCCCTGACCTGTTGGTGCTAAGGAGCTGTCAACAGTGACGCGTGTCGCGAGGCCCTGTCTTGATGCGAGGACTTCGTTTACTTGACACCTTCGCGTCTATTTTCTCAGTTACGGAGGGCAGACGTCGTTTCCATTTACAGACAACGAAACTTGAGAAGTTTCCTGATTTCCTTAGGTTCTCGCTGGAGGCTGGGGGCGCTAAGTGTAGTCTGCCGATCAGAGCCCAAAGTCCTACCCTGATTTAGAGCTTCCCCATCCACGGGGGAGATTCTCCGAAGGACAGGAAGTGGTTTAAAGAGCCACAGAGGAAAGACAAACCCTCACGGAAGCTCAGGGGACACAGAAGACAGCAGGGAAGATGGAGGACGGTGACAGGCTGTGCTCAGGGCCCGTCTGAACCCGCACCTGCCTGAGTCTGCTGAAGACCTTTACACAGGCATGAGCCATCAGAGAACAGAGGCGCGGACGCTGGAACTGCGGCTATGTTTCTGCAGGAGCCCACCAGTGGCAGATTTACTAATTATCATTCTAGTTGTAGTTTAAATATAAAAGACAAGTGTGGTGACATACTGTTTTCCTAGGTTGCAAGGGTTCGTGTGTGAAGATGCTGACGGAGCCTGAGCCCTTACCACACGTGAATATGAAAAGGAAGATTCAAACTCACTGTGATTAAAAAGCACTACTGCTGTTTTTTGTTTGTTTGTTTTTTGAGATGGAGTCTGGCTCTGTTGCTCAGGCTGGAGTGCAGTGGCGTGATCTCCGCTCATTGCAAGCTCCGCCTCCCGGGTTCACGCCATTCTCCTGCCTCAGCCTCCCGAGTAGCTGGGATCACAGGCGCCCGCCACCACGCCCAGCTAATTTTTTGCATTTTTAGTAGACACGGGGTTTCACCGTGTTAGCCAGGATGGTCTTGATCTCCTCACCTGGTGATCCGCCCGCCTCGGCCTCCCAAAGTGCTGGGATTACAGGCGTGAGCCACCGCGCCCAGCCAAGCACCACTGATTTTTAAAAAGCAAGAAACTTTTAAGTTAAACCGTTTATGTACTCTAAATAAGTTCTCACGGTACGTATTTCCCGAGCACATTTCTCTCCCTGGGTAATGGTAGGTGTTTGGTCTTTGCTCATGAAATTCATCTGTAATTAAGTACCTGGCTCATTTTAATCAAAAACTGTAAAAGGAAATTTATTTTGACATAAGAAAGAAAAGGCTATTTTGTGGCCTGATTTGCTGGAGTGTATTCAGTTTTATTCACGTGGGACAATGACGGGCGTCTACGTGGAAAGATAAAGCAGCGTTTGTGCGGTCTCTCTTGTTAGGAGCTGCCAGCAGGGAGCCAGCACCGCAGACCCGCACCCGTGGGCTGTTCCGTATCGAAGCAGACGACATTATAGATTAATAAAAGCAAACACAAGAGAACTGGTACAAAAACCATCAATAAAATAGATAGTTTGAGAAAAACATGCGTACATCTCCTATTAATGGCTCCCAGACTGTAGCTGAGAACAAAATCCTGTTATATTTGATGGTACAGACACGTTACTCAAAGAAGCAATTCATTCACTAAGGGTTTCATGTGACGGACAAAGTCGCTCTTCCTGGGCCAGGTACCACTTCCTCTGGTTTAGGAAGAGGAAGCCGTCTGTTACTCTGACTGATGCCCCCGTATGTGTGGAATACCTGGAGTGGAGTCCTGCCTAGCGCACGCCTTCCTGCTGAATCCTCGGGCTCAGGACTTAATCTCTGTGCCTCAGTTCCCTCCTCTGTGAAATAGAATAGTGGTATGTGGCTCATGTGCATGAAATAAAATGAGCCATGAAATAAAATATGCACAATGCCAGCAGCATAGTAAATATTCAATGAATGCTACTGTTATATTTACCAATTAAATATTATGGATTCAGAAAGTATATTTCTATTGTACCAAAAAACGTAAAAAATAAAATCAAGCTAATTTTTTTTTTTTTTTTGAGACAGAGTCTCACTCTGTCGCCCAGGCTAGAGTGCAGTGGCACAATCTCAGCTTATTGCAACCTCCACCTCCCAGGTTCAAGCGATTCTCCTGCCTCAGCCTCCCTAGTGGCTGCGATTACAGGTGTGTACCACCACGCCCAGCTAATTGTTGTACTTTTAGTAGAGACGGGGTTTTGTCATGTTGGCCAGGATGGCCTTGAACTCCTGACCTCAGGTGATCTGTCCGCCTTGGCCTCCCAAAGTGCTGGGATTACAAGCGTGAGCCACTGTGCCCAGTCAAATCAAGCAAATTTTAAGGAAAGATTAACCCACCTTAAAGTCGTATGCGCACAATTATTCGTTTGGAAGGCTCAGGGCGGCGGTGCACGGAGCACGCTCATGCGTGCATGACATGAGACGGGGTCCCTCTGCGTGGATCGGCACTGTGGGATGAGACCAGCCCCTCCAAAATGCCAGGGCTCCTGTCCTGAGTCTGTAACCACTGTTCTCACTATTACAATTTATTCTCCCAGCCTACCTCCACAATATACTTTCTCTGATTCTTTTTTTTTTTTTTTTTTGAGATGGAGTCTCGCTTTGTCTCCGAGGCTGGAGTGCAGTGGTGCAATCTTGGCTCACTGCAAGCCCCACCTCCTGGGTTCATGCCATTCTCCTGCCTCAGCCTCCTGAGTAGCTGGGACTACAGGCGCCCGCCACCACGCCCGGCTAATTTTTTGTATTTTTAGTAGAGACGGGGTTTCACTGTGTTAGCCAGGATGGTCTCCATCTCCTGACCTCGTGATCTGCCTGCCTCGGCCTCCCAATCTGATTCTTAGTAGAACAACAACAATAAAAAATTTCACCTGTTCCCATAATTGTAATTATTTGAGGGAAGTTTGGGAGTGTGGAGTAGAAAGATCCTATAGGCAGACACAAGAGGAGAAAAAGATGCAGCCAAAGTGTATCAAGAACAAACTCTACAAACAGAGAGGGAAGGATGGTGCGCATGGTGGCGCGGGGGAGAGAAGCCCCAATTAACTGGGGCTCTGCACGTGTCTCTGGCCTTGGCAGGAAGGGAGGCTGGAGAGGAAGAGTGGGTTTCCTGCCACTCAGCGCCCGGCCTGCCCTGCTCCTGAGGGTGTGAAGGTCCTGCAGCAAAGGGGCGGGTAAGCAACGTCCCAGCAGCTCCTCTGCTTGCCAGGCTCACTCCACTGTCGCTTTTCTTTCTTCTATTAATGGTCTGAAATTATGGTTACTGATTTCTTCAAGGTCTCATTCCTTCATTCTTACATGGATAAGCTCAATTTCATTAAACACAAATCATAGAATACAAAATGAACTTCAAATATTACTGGACAGAAAGTTGCTGGACAGGTTAAACGGGAGCTGCCAAGCAGACAGTGTGCACCTAAATGGGCTTGCTGCCGCGGACTGGTCGCAGCTGGGCCAGGGCCAGGCCAGACATGGGCTGGTTATAAACTCCATACTTTGAAGGATAAGACTGCAGCTTTCCAAACACAATTCTGATTTTGTAGAGACAGGGTCCTGATCTATTGCTGAGGGATGGAGTGCAGTGGTGCGATCACAGTTCACCGCAGCCTCCACCTTCCAGGCTGAAGTGATTCTCCAGTCCAGGCAGCTGGGACCACAGGCACATGGTGCCGTGCCCAATTCTGTTCATCTCTCCTAGGAAAACTGAAGACTTTCTCGGCTCTGACTCTGTTTTCTAATCATTTTGCCTTGAGATCACTTTAGACTTGCAGGGAAGCTGCAGAAGCAGTGCAGACAGCCCCACGGCACCGTCCAGCTCACCCAGGACCACGGCGCCGTCCAGCTCACCCGGGACCACGGCGCCGTCCAGCTCTCCCGGGGCCACGGCGCCGTCCAGCTCTCCCGGGGCCACGGTGCCGTCCAGCTCACCCGGGGCCACGGCGCCGTCCAGCTTACCTGGGGCAACACTCCACGAAGACACAGACACACCCCTTGGGAGAGAAACGGTGCGGAGGTCCCGGTTTTTCTCGAACGCAATTTTCCTGCCCAGGGCCCCTGCACTGCCCTGGCCGTCATGTCTCCTGGGCTCTGTGATCTGGCCAGTGCCTCTGTCTCCCCGTCTTTAATGACCTGGCTGCTCCTCAAAGCTCTGGACATGTCTTTGTGGAATGCCCTTGTTTTGGATTTGTCCGATGTCTTCTAGCGATGACACTACTGGGGAGGATTTGTTGAGGGGACGCGTGTTCCCCGCAGGGCTCCACAGCAGGAGGTGTGGCCTCTCTCATCCCTGGTGATGGGAACTGTGACCCCGGGGTTCTGCGTCCCTTGGAAGACCTCGTGACAGTGGCTGCTGCCCTGATGCCTCCGCGGGGCCTCTGACTGCCCTGGTTCCTTCACATTTATAACTGGAATCCTCCG